GACAGGCGCCCTTGGGCGGGGCCTGGGGGGAGGCAAGCACAATCGCAAATAATCACAAACCAGCGCCAGCGAGCAGGGGGTCGCGGCCGCCAGGCTTCCTTGCGCGGGCTCACAATCGCAAATGATTCCGAAACCAGCGCCAACGAGCAGGGGGGCGCGCGGCCGCCAGGCGTCATGGGCGGGACCTGGGGGGGCAAGCACAATCGCAAATAATCAGAAGCCAGCGCCAGCGAGCCAGGGCGGTCGCGGCCGCCAGGCGTCGTGGGCGGGCCCTGGAAGGGCAACGCACAATCGCAAATAATCAGAAACCAGCGCCGGCGAGGCATGCGGTGCGCGCGGCAGCCAGGCGTCTTTGGGCGGGCCCTCGAAAGGCGAAACACAATCCGAAATATTCCGAAACCGGCGCCAACGAGCCAGGGGGGGCGCGCGGCCGCCAGGCGCCCTTGGACGGGGCCGGGGGGGGCAAGCACAATCGCAAATTATCAGAAACCAGCGCCAGCGAGCCAGTGGGGTCGCGGCCGCCAGGCGTCTTTGGGCGGGCCCTGGAGAGGCGAAACACAATCGCAAATGATCGGGAATCAGCGCCAGCGAGCCAGGGGGTGCGCGCGGCCGCCAGGCGTTCTTGGACGGGGCCTGGGGGGAGCAAGCACAATCGCAAACAATCAGAAACCAGCGCCAACGAGCGAGGGGGGTCGCGGCCGTCAGGCGTCTTTGGGCGGGCCCTGGAAAGGCGAAACACAATCGCAAATGATCGGGAGCCAGCGCCAGCGAGCCAAGGGGGGGGCGCGCGGCCGCCAGGCGTCATTGGACGGGACCTGGGGGGAGGCAAGCACAATCGCAAATAATCAGAAACCAGCGCCAGCGAGCCAGGGGGGTCGCGGCCGCCAGGCTTCCTTGCGCGGGCTCACATATCGCAAATGATCAGAAACCAGCGCCAACGAGCCAGGGGGGCGCGCGGCCACCAGGCGTCCTTGGACGGGACCTGGGGGGGCAAGCACAATCGCAAATAATCAGAAGCCAGCGCCAGCGAGCCAGGGCGGTCGCGGCCGCCAGGCGTCCTTGGGCGGGCCCTGGAAAGGCAAAGCACAATCGCAGATAATCAGAAACCAGCGCCAGCGAGCCAGGGGGCGCGCGCGGCCGCCAGGCGTCTTTGGGCGGGCCCTGAAAAGGCGAAACACAATCGCAAATAATCAGAAACCAGCGCCAACGAGCCAGGGGTGGCGCGGCCGCCAGGCGTCTTTGGGCGGGTTCTCGAAAGGCGAAGCACAATCGCAAATGTGACGCGGGCCAAAGGTCGGCGCCGCCGCCTGGCGTCCTGGCGCGCGCCCCTGCGCGGCCAATCGCAATCGCAAATAAGCAAAAACCGACGCGGGCCAGAGGTCGGCGCCGCCACCTGGCGTCTTGGGGCGCGCCCTGGCGCAGCCAATCGCAATCGCACATAGGCAAAAACCAGCGCGGGCCAGAGGTCGGCGCCACTTGGGCGGGCCAGAGGTCGGCGTCTCCGTTGTGCGTCCGCGCGCCCTGCGCTGCCACGCGCAATGGCACGTGAGCAAAAAACAACGGACGCGCCACGGCATTGAGAGCGCCGGCCGGCTAAGAAACTGCCCCGGAATTTAGCCCCTACTTTCTTATTTGTTCCGCTCCCCAGTTCAGCCCCAAAATGTCTTATCTCATGGTTTTCTTAATATGTTTGGGTTTACACTAGTTCCCTACCTGGGCTCTGCCTAGAAGGGTTCTTACCGTCTTTGCTTAAAGGGGCCGGGCAGTGCAAAACGCCCCGGGCGGTTCCCCCAGGATCCGCCCCGCGGTTCCCCCAGTCCCCTTGGAGCTTTAGCTTTAGCTTTAGCTTTAGTTTTAGCTTTAGCTTTAGCTTTAGTTTTAGCTTTAGCTTTAGCTTTAGTTTTAGCTTTAGCTTTAGCGCTAGCTTTAGCTTAGCTTTCGCTTAGCTGTAGCTTAACTTTAGCTTAGCTGTAGCTTAGCTTTAGCTTAGCTTTAGCTTAGAGTTAGCTTAGATTTAGCTTAGCTTTAGCTTAGCTTTAGCTTAGCTTTAGCTTAGCTTTAGCTTAGCGTTAGCTTAGCTTTAGCTTAGATTTAGCTTAGCTTCAGCTTAGTTTTAGCTTAGCGTTAGCTTAGCTTTAGCTTAGATGTAGCTTAGCTTTAGCTTAGCTTCAGCTTAGCTTTAGCTTAGCTTTAGATTAGTTTTAGTTTAGATGTAGCTTGCATTTAGCTTAGCTTTAGCTTAGTTTTAGCTTAGCTTTACCTTAGCTTTAGCTTAGCTTTAGCTTAGCTTTAGTTTAGCTTTAGCTTAGCTTTAGCTTAGCTTTACTGTTACTACTAATGCTGCTTTCCTAGGGGCTCCAACTCATAGGTAGGGTCGCACTGGGATAATCCTCCTCCTCGCCCTGCTCCTCCTCTTCCTCCTCCTCCTCCTCAGTATATCTTTCTCTTCGTTCCCTACCTAGGCTCTGCCTAGAAGGGTTCTTACCGTCTTTGCTTAAAGGGGCCGGGCAGTGTAAAACGCGCCGGGCGGTTCCCCCAGGATCCGCCCCGCGGTTCCCCCAGTCCCCTGGGAGCTTTAGCTTTAGCTTTAGCTTTAGCGTTAGCTTCAGCTCTAGCTTAGCTTTAGCTTAGCTTTAGCTTAGTTTCAGCTTAGCTTTAGCTTAGCTTTAGCTTATGTTTAGCTTAGCTTTAATATAGCTGTAGCTTAGCTTTAGCTTAGCTTTAGCTTAGTATTAGCTTAGTTTTAGCTTAGCTGTAGCTTGGTTTTAGCTTAGTTTTAGTTTAGATTTAGCTTACCTTTAGCTTAGCTGTAGCTTGGCTTTAGCTTAGCTTTAACTTAGAGCTAGCTTAGATTTAGCTTAGATTTAGCTTAGCTTTAGCTTAGTTTTAGCTTAGCTGTAGCTTAGCTTCAGCTTAGCTTCAGCTTAGCTTTAGCTTAGCGTTAGCTTAGCTTTAGCTTAGATTTAGCTTAGCTTTACCTTAGTGTTAGCTTAGCTTTAGCTTAACTTTAGCTTAGCTTTAGCTTAGCTGTAGCTTAGCTTTAGCTTAGCTTTAGCATAGCTTTAGCTTAGCTTTACTGTTACTACTAATGCTGCTTTCCTAGGGGCTCCAATTCCAAGGTAGGGTCGCACTAGGATAATTTGTACCATCATCATCCTCATCCTCTTCGTCATCATAATCGTCCTCATCATCATCATCATCATCATCATCATCATCATCATCATCATCATCATCATCATCATCATCATCACCAGCATCATCAGAATCATCATCAGCAGCATCATCAGCAGCAGCAGTGGCAGCGGAAGCACCATCAGCATCGTCAGCATCAGAATCCTCATTACCGCCCTCATTGTCAATACCTTCATCAGAATCACCCTCGGTATCGGTGGTAACACTGGCATCATAGTAGTACCAATCGTCAGCTGCAACATCACAGCATCTGCATCATCTGCAGCAGCACCACCACCATCAAGGTCGGCATCAGCATCACCAGCATCATCAGCAGCATCAGCAACAACGGCATCATCATCAGCAGCATCATCATCACCACCACCATCACCACGATCAGCATCATCATCATCATCAGCAGCATCATCATCGTCAGCATCAGCATCAGCATCATCATCGTCATCAACAACAGCATCAGCAGCAGCAGCAGCATCATAGACTTCGTCGTCATCTTCCTCACCGTTGTCGTCAGCATCGTCGTACTCCTCTTTGTCATCGTCATCGCTGTCGTCGTCGTTATCACAATCCTACGTATCTGTATCATCATCAGCAGCATCATCGTCATCATCATCATCACCATAACAATCACCATCGACATCACCATCTCCCCTATCCGTCTCCCACCCCTGCCCCTACGTAATTACGCACTCCTCTTCCTCCTCCTCCTCCTTCTCCTCCTCCTCCTCATCATCATAATCAGTATCAGCATGATCATCATCATCATCATCATCACCACCACCACCATCATCATCATCATCATCATCATCATCAGCATCAGCATCAGCAGCAGCATCATTTTAAGTTTCCTCATCCGCCTCCTCCTCCTCCTCCTTCTCCTCCTCCTCCTCCTCACCCTCCTCCTCCTCCTCCTCCTCCTCCTCCTCCTCCTCCTTCTCCTCCTCCTCCTCCAAGCCTTTTCCTTATAAATAACTTCTCCCTGTCGCATGCCGAGGCCAGTCGAAAGGGCGGGCCGGGCGTTTCGCCTGAGACTTCCTCACCATATCTATGTTAAACGTTTGCAAGGGCTTCACGGATTGAAAGCGGTTCGTTTTCAAAATGTGGCTCTCGCCTTAGCTCCGCGCACATTCCTTTTTGAAATTTGCAGGCGTTTCACGGATTTCCATGGTCAGCGTACCAGAAGTGGCGCTCGGGAAAGATGCAGGATAGTGAGGGTGTGACCGTTACGTTGATTCGCAGTGTTGACGTCCCAGGAATGGCGTTCTGGCACGATTCAGGATCGTCAAGACGCAACAGTCAGGTTGATCCGTGGCGTTAGAGTCCCGAGAATAATGTCTGGCATGCTTCAGGGTCTTCAAACGGTTGTCTTCCAACGAGGCAGTTCCCTCTGTGGAAATGAACCCTTACAGAGGACTATGAAGAAGGAGTTTGGAGGGAGGGCGTATGCCAACATCGTTGCTGACTCTTGGGTTTGCACTGGTCCTCCTCCTCCTCCTCCTCGTCCTCCTCCTTCTCCTCCTCTTCATCCTCCTCCTCCTTCTCTCTCATCCCTCCTTGTCTCGCTCCATCTGTCCATCCATCCACCATCCACCCGTCCATCCTCCCCCCGCGCGCGGTGGAGAGAAGATGGAGAAGGAGGAGGAAGCGAAAGAGGTGGGGTAACTAGGAGAGGTAATTAGCAGGCGAAGGAGAGGGCCAGGGGGAGTAGGAGGGGAAAAGGGGCATGAAGGGCAGGATAGGGGTAGGAAGAATGGGAGGGACAGGAAGCGAAGGACGACGATGATCTCTTTTTCCTCCTCCTGCCCCGAGGCCTGGGGGACCGACCGCGGGGTCGTCCAGCCGAGGAGCCACGCCAGCGACAGCGACGAGCCCAGGAGCAGCCTCAGGAGGCCGCGCTCGATCGGTAGTCCGATGGTCCTGCTCCTTCCCGAATCCCTTACGGTCGACCCGCATCCTCAGGATGCACGATGAGGATGCAAGGGCCTCGGAGGCCCACGCGAACCTTCTTCGAACAGGGCTGGCCAGCGAAAGTCGCTAAGGATGGGCCGAAAGGGCAAGGATGCAAGGGTACCCTTGGGAAGGTTGCCCATCCTTACCGTGCGGGTTGACTGTAGCCTTCTGTCTTTCTTTCTCTCTCTCTTTCTCTCTTGTTTTCCGACGGGAGCTGTGTATTCGTCATCGTCGTGCGCTCCCGCGCCTTCCCCGTCAACGGCCTCGGTCCGCACAACCCCAGTACGCTGCCAGAGTAGGCCGCAGGCCGCTGGATAACAACCGCGGATTACGAGACGCACTGGCTCAGAAAAAAATGTGCCTTCTCGGGCGCGCAGTCGGGCGGGATCGGGCAGATCAGCGATCAGCTGCTCAGCCGTGGGGGCACACGCTAGCGGAGTAGGCCAGAGGCCGCTGGATAAAAACCGCTGATTATGAGACGCACAAGAAAACAACTTCATGCGTACGAAAACCAGAGATGCTTCAGTTCAGCAACCTGGCCAGCGGGCGCCGCCAGGGAGACCAGTAAGGCGAGGATGACTGCAGTGAAAGATTCCCGCGTGCCACCACGCCGAAGTCCTTCGGTTCAGTAAACCAGCTACCAGCTCCCTCCCGTCGCCATGGCGACGCTCAGGGGCCAAATGGCTGAACTAGAGGCCTCCCAAATGGGATCCGCGTAGACGGGGTCGGAGGATCACGCCACATCGCCGATGCGTCGCTCCGCGCGCCAGGGATGGGCGCCGATCCAAGAAATCCGTCCTGAGCTCCGAAAGTGTATGTTATGAATCGAGCTTCGCTGCCCCGATACGTAACACGCAACCCGCAGCGTGCTGGCACGGAGCTCAACGTAGAGAACTGAAGACGCAGGCCTGGCGCGATGCGCTCGCCAAAACAAGGACCAGAACGTGCCGAGCCGAAACGCAGCGTGTGTAACAGGGACGTGTCGTTGGGGAACCCCAAAAAAGGTACCGATGCCGCCACTCCCTGGACCTCTCCCGAGGCGCGTTCCGACCAGGCTGTCGAGGCGAAGCCAGCGGTGTCGACGAGGGCCTCCCAGGAGGCCCAAACAAAGGAGAACACGAGGCCGAGGCTGGCGGCATCGCACCTTTTTTCCTCCTCGGAGCTGTGCACGGCACGTGTTGCGCTGCAAGACGGGCGCGTCGGGGCAGCCAACTGGCGCCTCCTGAGAAGTATGTTCTGCCTTCGGGGAAGGCTTCGAAGACTTCTCAGAAGGCCGTGGGGCTTCCGAGCCTTCCGAGAAGGCCCTCTCCTTCTCGCTTCCCCCCTCGCTCGCCGCCGAGCCAAGGAGCCGAAGGCTCTCGGGGTGCGTGCCGCGTGCGCCGTCGGGCGGCAGCCGAGGCACGTCCGCCGCTCCGCCGCGGGCGCCGCGCGGGGGTCCCCGTCACAGGAAGCGCCACGGCCGGAGCGGCGGCGGCGCCCTGCGGATCCCGGCGAGCCGTGGGGCCCGAGACGCACGAGGTCAGAACTGAGAGCAAGGAGGCGCGAGAAGCGATGGGGATGCAGGCTTCTGGATGCGAGAAATCCGCGCGGACCTCCGAGTTTTTTATGTTTATGTCACTTGTTGTTCCCCTATCTGTGGCATCTCATGGGAGCCTCCCGTATCACCTTGTTGGGTATTGCGAAGCGACGCTGGTCGACGCTGATCGACGCCAAACCGACGCCAGTCGTCGCGAATCGACGCTGATCGGCGCTGAATCGGCGATACCTCCGAATTGTTATGTTTGTGTCATTTTTTGTTCCCCTGCGATAACAAGGGAACCGACCGTGGTCGGACCGCGAGCAGCCCCGAACGCGGCCGCGGGGCAGCGCGCGGCGGGGCCCTGCTAGGGGCCCGGCAGCAGGGCGCCCAGGCAACCTCGGGAGGGCCCGGGAGCTCCCGCGCCCGCAGGTCTCCCCGCACGCGCGCGGATCCGTCTTATTCTTTGTTTTTCTTCGTCTTTCTCCTCCTTCTCCTGCTCCTGCTCCTGCTCCTGCTCCTGCTCCTCCTCCTCCTCCTCCTCCTCCTGCTCCTCCTCCTCCTCCTCCTCCTCCTCCTCCTCCTCCTCTCCGCCTCCTCCTCCCCTCCTCCTCCTCCCTCCTCCTCCTCCTCCTCCTCCTCCTCCTCCCTCCTCCTCCGTGCTGGAGAGAGCCGCGACGGGCCGAGGCCCGGGAAGGGCGGGGGGGGGGGGGGGAAGCGCAGGAGGAGCCGCAGCGGGAGGTCTTCGGGGCCCTCGGAGGTCCGAGCCCGCGCGCGCGCACGTTTTTACCCGGGCGCGCGGGCAGCTCGGGGAGGTCCTGCCCCTGCCGTCTGAGCTGCCGCGGGTCCACCTCTGCCGCTGCGGCCACGTCTGGGGTCACCGCGCCGGCACTGGGCATCAGCAGCAGCAGACGTCCGCCGGCGTGGGCCCCAAACGGTGCGTCTCCAGCAGTACAGGCTGTGCATCAGATGTTGTGCCATCTGCGTGGAGCAACATATGTGGTGCAATCTATGCGATGCCATCAATGTGATGCCATAAACGTGGTGCAATGTATGTGGTGCAATCCATGTCGTGCGCAATCCATGTGTGCAGTCTACGTCGGGCAGTATATGTGATCCCATCAATGGGATGCCAGTCCTGTGGCGCAATTTATGCCATGCGCAATATATGTTGTGCAATCTGTGTGGGAAAATCTACGTGATGCAACCTATGTTGTGCAATCTATATTGTGCAATCTGTGTTGTGCAGTCCTTGTTGCGGCGACGAGGATGCGACGGGACGGCGACGGCGGCAACAAGGCGGCCCCCGACAAACGAGTCCAGACGACGGGCGGCGACGAGGCGGCGACGGGGCGGCGACGGGGCGGCGACGGTGGCAACAAGGCGTTGGAGCCGACAAACGAGCCCAGACGACGGGCGGCGACGAGACGGCGACGGGACGGCGACGGCGGCAACAAGGCGGTGGACACGACAAACAAGCCCAATTCCTTAGATAATTTCTGCAAAGGAATGCAAATCAATGCAAATCAGTGCAAAGCAACACAAAGAAAGCAGTGCGAATCAATGTAACGCACAGAAGTGCAAAGCAATACAAAGTAATACAAGGCAATGCAAAGCAATGCAAAATAATGCAAAAGCAATGCCAAGCAATGCAATGCAATGCAATGCAATGCAGAGCAATGCAGAGCAATGCGAAGCTATGCGAAGCTATGCGAAGCAATGCGAAGCCATGCGAAGCCATGCGAAGCGGGCGGCGGCGAGGCGACGGGCGGCGACGAGGCGACGGCGGCGATGTGGTGACCAGAGCGGCGAGCAGGCCCAGGCGACGGGCGGCGACGAGGCCGCGACGGGGCGGCGACGGCGGCGACATGGCGGCCAGAGCGACCCGCAGGCCCAGACGACGGGCGGCGACGAGGCGGCGACGGGGCGGCGACGGCGGCTAGAGCCTGTTTTCTTCATGATTCGCGATAACGCGAATGATCGAGGGAAAGGGGGGGAATTCGTACCCCCGATCACATCTCGGCGGGGGGCCACCGGAAATCTTTAGAAATCCTAGCAGAATCCGCAGGGAATCTTTGCAAACGTGGGCAAAATAGCGTGGCGTGATCCGGGGGGGGGGGAGGAAGAAGAAGAAGAAGAAGAAGAGGGCCGATGATGACTGATACCGCCCAGACCTTACGAAAACAGCCTCGTACACAGCCGCCGGACCGACCCCCCCTTGCCTTTCTCCGCAAGTTTGAACCCCTAAGTGCGAGCTCTGTTCAAGGAGTTTTAAAATCATTCGCTCTTCGCTGCTCTCCTGTCATTCCACATGTAGCTCCAAAAATGTTCGACTCCCACCTCCTTGAGCGAGGGGGCTCTTTCCCCATGTCCTCCTCCTCCTCCTACTCCCTCTCCTCCTGCTCCTCCTCATCCTCCCCCTCCTCCTACGCTCTTCATTTATGAACGCACCTCCTTGAGCGGGGGGGCTCTTCCCCCATGTCATGTCGGCTCCTGGGCAAGCCCCGACAGGCTGATAAAACCGGGTCGGGCGGGGGGACCCTGACTGGGGAAACCAACAGGTACGGATACCGCTACTCCCTGGACCTCTCCCGAGGTGTGTTCTGACCAGAATCTCGAGGCGAATCCAGCGGTGTCGACGAGGGCCTCCAAGGAGGCACAAAAAGGGGAAAACGAGGCAAGGGTAGCGTATAGGAACCTTCTCTAGAGGGTCGGAGTAGTTAGATAAGATCGGAGGATCGCGCCGCATCGCCGATACATCGGCGATGCATCGGCGATGCATCGGCGATGCATCGGTGATGCACAGGCGATGCATCGCCGACGTCGGCGATGCATCGGCGACGACGTGAAGCAAATCGAGCCCCGCATCGCGCCGCATCGGCGATGCATCGGCGAGGCGGCGCGACCCTCCGACCCCATCTACTTGGACCCCGTCAAGGAGGCCTGTGGGTAGTTATGGGAACCTTCTCCTCCTCCGGCGAACAAGCGGGTCGGGCGGGCGGCGGACCCTAAGGGCCAGGTCGGGCGGGCAGACTTCTGAGCAAGAGTGAAGTCGGGCCTGTCCCCCCTCATAGGGGGATCTTGGACGAAAATTCAAAACTGCCAAAGAATAGTCCAGCAAGAGCTTCCAGACTACTTGTTTTCCTATCCTCGAATCTGCTTCACTATCCTCGCACACTCCTCCTGCAGAGGGACAGCCCCGACCTCAAGCAGGAGCGGCTGCGCGGGCCCTGCGCGTGCCCGGCCGGGCGGGCCCGGGCGGGCGGGCGGGCGGGGGCGGGGGCTGGGGGGGCAACTGGGCAGCTCCTCGGGCGCACTCCTCGGCGGACGGGGGGGGGCGTTTTCGGAGGAGGAGGAGGAGGAGGAGGAGGAGGAGGAGGAGGAGGAGGAGGAGGAGGAGGAGGAGGAGGAGGAGGAGCAGGAGGAGCA